CCAGACTGAACATCAAAGACATCAAAGAGAGCAATTTCTGGGGCAACAGCGTGGCTCAGTCAGTTGAGTGCCCAACTCTTGATTTTGGCTCAGGTCATGATCTCAGGATTGTGAGATCGAGCCCCACGTCCAGCTCTATGCTGGTTGTGGAGTCTGCTTAAAATTCTCTCTCTCCCTTTGCTCCTCTCCCCCTAAAAAAAACCTAAAAAGAGAGCAATGTCTAAATAGGGAACTTTTGCAGAATGCAAGGACTTTTCAACAAAAACCCCCTCTTAAGGTGATGAACTCTGTTCCTAGAAGTATTCAGATAGAGACCAGGTCATGATCTGTTAGGATTACCACGGAAAGGTCTCTTACCTTGTGCAGGAGCTGAATTTGGCTCCTGAATTTTCACTCTGTGATTCTTTGTTTTCCTTTAATAGGAGTTCTGTGGTTTATAGAGCCCAATAGCAGTAAGAGCTGACATTTATGGAACCCTGATATGCTAGGCAGTATGCTAAATCAGGTGTATTGATCACCTTACTTTTAAGTTTCACAAGAGTCCTACGGGGCAGGTACTATCTTTCCCATTTTACCAGTGAGGCAGCAGAGACTTAAATTCAGTGAATTGCCCAAGTTACATAGCTAGCAAGTGGCAGGGGCTGGATTTGAATGCAGGGTATTTTACTCTAGGGCCCTTGACCTTATCCTCTACCTTAGGCTGCTCCCTGAACAGCTTAACATATTTGTTTAATTCATCCAAATGTGATTTATTTCAGGAATATAATCATGTCTTAAGTGCGATATTTACATTGCCTATCTGTAAAAAGCATCAGTTTAAAAAAACGAGTACTTTTCTAATTATCAAGAGATTCACATACTTGCATAGAATTTAAAAATCAAAATTATAATCCTACTACCATTAGGTAATCACTGTTGTCAGTTTGATATTCAGTTACTGGTACAACTTTATTTTATTTTTTTTAAAGATTTTATTTATTCATTTGAGAGAGAGAGCGTGCACACAAGCAGGGGGAGGGGCAGAGGGAGAGGGAGAAGCAGACTCCCCGCTGAGCAGGGAGCTTGACACGGGGCTCATCCCAGGACCCCGAGATCATGACCTGAGCCAAAGGCAGACACTTAACTGACTGAGTCACCGGGTGCCCCTACTATGTACAATTTAAAAAAATAAACTAAAATGGCAGATTTGTTTTCAGTCATGGCAGGTGGTGAGGCACTGAAAGCTTTGGCTCCCAGAGCAAGCCCTTAGAAAGGTATCTCGGTCTCTTTGGGCTGCTAAAGTAGAATACCACAGACTGGGTGGATCATAAAAAACAGAAACGTATTTCTCCCGGTTCTGGAGGCTGGAAGTCCAGGAGCAAGGTGCCAGCATGGGTAGGTCCTGGTGAGAGCCCTCTTTCACAAGGCGGACTGCTGACTTCTCCTTGTATCCTCATGTGACAGATCAGGGAGGCAAGCTTTTATAAGGGCACTACTCCCGTTTCTTGGGGTTCCACCCTCATGACCTCACCCAACCCTACTCACCTTCCAGAGGCTCCACCTAATACCATCACATTGGGGGATAGGATTTCAACATACGAATTTTAGAGGGACACAGACTTTCAGTTTGTAATGCGAAATTTGATTTTTCTCACTTTTGGCGCAGCATTGAATCATGCTGTTTCTTTTTAGCATCAAGACTCAGGGGAAAAATGCTTTTTTCATTGGAATAAACAGATTTTTGTAATTGGATGATTAAAGTAGAGACATTTATCATAAAATATAACACCTTGAATTGAGTTTTATTCATTCAATGAGTATTTATTATTATGAGCTCTGTGCTAGTTCCTGGGGTAAGGTAAGGTCCTTGTTTTCATGGAGCTTACAGTCTAGTGGGAAAGATAGACAGTGAATGAACCAGCAGTTATTCATCAGTCAGGACACCAGGAAAACATCAGAAATATTGCTGAATTTTTTTTTAACATTGCTGAATTTTGACAGATGTGTGTACCTGTGTCACCCAAGCTTCCATCAAGACTTGGAATGTTACACGCAATTCTAGAAAGTTCCTTCTTGCCTGAAATTCTCTTCCCTAGAATTTTTCGTGACTGGCTCTTTTTTTGATACTTAGTGCTCAGCTTAAATCTCTTCCCTGTAACCCCCCACCCCCACCCCGAGGCAACTACTGTTCAGATATTTTTCTACTATAGATTAATTTTAGTTGTTCTAGAACTTTATGTAAATAGAACCATACAGTATCTCTCTTGTATCTGGCTTCTTTCACTCAACCTAATGTTATTTAAGATTCATGCATGTGTCTTTAGTCTTATGAATAAAGCTGTTATGAACATTCTTAAGTCTTTTTGTGGATAGATTTAATTTATCCAACTTGGGACTCAGAGAACTGTACTAAATCTGATGACCTCCATCTTCCAACTCCTCACTACATGGATGTTGAGTTTCTCTATCTATCCTTCATGTCTCTGCTATGTTTTCTACATCTTTCTGTGCTACATTCTGAGTGAGATCCTCAGATTTATCTTCAATTCCCTAACTCTCTCTCTCTGTCTGAGCTACTATTTAACCTATTGATTATTGAACTTTTTTTTTATTTTTTAATTTTTTAATTTTTTTTTTCTTAAAGATTTTATTTATTTATTTGAGAGAGAGAGAATGAGAGAGAGAGCACATCAGAGGGGATAGGGTCAGAGGGAGAAGCAGACTCCCTGCCGAGCAGGGAGCCCGATGCGGGACTCGATCCTGGGACTCCAGGATCATGACCTGAGTCGAAGGCAGTCGCTTAACCAACTGAGCCACCCAGGCGCCCTGAACTTTTTTTTTTTTAAAGATTTTATTTATTTGACAGAGAGAGAGCACAAGTGGGCAGAGCGGCAGGCAGAGGGAGAGGGAGAAGCAGACTCCCCAGTCTGATGCAGGACTCGATCCCAGGACCCTGGGATCATGACCTGAGCCGAAGGCAGACGCTTAACGACTGAGCCACCCAGGCGCCCTGATTATTGAACTTTTAAAAAATTTTAACAAATATCTTTCATGTCTAGAATTTCTACTTTTTGTTGTCTCTTGTTCATGTTTTAGATTTTATTTTCCTTAATTTCCCCAAGTGGTGTTATTTTAAAGTTCCTTTCAGATTTCAGATATGGATATTTTTGTTTGGTTCTTCTGTGAACTGTTTTTTATTGGCTCTAGGGTTTTTTGATTTCTGTTTTGTTTTTATTCATTTATGATTGCTCTTCTAGGGACTGATCTTCTGTGGAAGTCCTACGTGTTTCCTGTGTGTTAGAAACAGACACACACACACACGCTCCAACAGAATGCACCAATTCTAACCATTTTAGTTTTAGGTTCTTGGCTTAGGGTTTTCTTTTGTGAGGATAACGTGAACCTGGCCCCTGTGCTGCTTCATCGTGCAGGATTGAGGGACGGTCTTCCTATGAGGAGCTCTGTTCATACTCTCAGCCTTGGGCAGGTGGCTTGCCTGGACCGTGGTGGGCAAGTAGTTTTCAGTTCCTGTTCATGGACAACGTAGCACTCTCCAGAGTCCCATCTGTACCCTGGCCTCGTGGCCTAGACTTCTGGTCATGGGCTGGCAATATACCCCAGCCCTGGGGCTCTGGTCTATGCCCAGCTATCTCTCCCATGCACTTCCGTTTCTGGCACCTGATGATTTCCCTTTCCTCTTTTTGAATTTAACTCTGTATTACACTTTTATCTTTTTAATGTCTTCTCCAGCATTTTGTATTGTTTCCAGTGAGAAAGGGTTTTTTTTTAAAACATCTTCTCAGAATATTTTAACTAGAAATTTGTGCAGATTCTTTAATCTTATTAAGCCTTAAGTAAAAGTACTGGAGAAAGGACACATGAATACTTAAAACAGTTTCAGCAATAAAGTAAATCTTTTTAAAACAGTGCAGCCATTTTATTGTTTTCATTAGCAGTGTAATAATTGTTGTGATTTCATTTTTCATCTCCAATGCCAAATATCTCTGTAGGTATGATAGCCCAGCGTTGTTGTAAATATTAAATTATTTAAAAAATAACTGTTGCCAAAACTTTGAAAAATGATTAAAATAGTACACATTCAGTGGTAAACTCTCAGCCATAGAGAAGCATAGGCAGGGTCTAGCGGATCACTGTGTCTTTGGGCATTAGAGATTTTAGGCCAGAGCCCACAGATGGGTGGCACAGAGCCCAGAGTGTTTTTGTTTGGCTGGTACAATGTTTTAAAAACTGTAAGTTTGTTGCTGACACTTAAAAATAGTGATATTTCACATAAAATTTAGATACCTGACTTCTCTTGAGTAATGGAGTTATCTGACTATACTGGGCCTGCTTCCCAAACAGGATCAATCACCTTGAATGGAATGATGTCTGTCCCCTGATTTCTTTCCGTGACTGAGGCCAAGGGCCACTTACCCTTTATTGTTACACATTTTCTGTTGTTATTTAAGTAGTACAGAAATAGTACTATATATCCATTTCTCTGTCAAAAATAGGAAAACAAAAGACAGACGGAGAAAACCACGTGTAACAAGAAAAATGGAAGAGAGACTTTTGTGTGGGGTTTCCCTGACTAAAGCCATCTGCCATTCTTATTTTTTTTAATTGTATAAAATAATAGAACATCAAACTGATCACAGTAGTCACCTAAGGGCAGTAGGATTTTAATTAGTTAGTTAATAATTTTATAATTAATTTTGATTTTTCAAATTCTGTACAGGTGTGTCTATGTTCAGACACTCTGTTGTCACATGATGAAGTGAGCGCTGGGCAGCTGGTAGAGGGCAGGGGGGTTTCCTCGGATGAGAATGAAGATGGAGATGGAATACAGAAGGCACAAAAGTGAGAAAAAGAAATATCACTCTTTCCATGTGGAAATCTGTAGCATTTTGTTTTAGTTTGTGGACACATAGATTATAAGTGGAGCATTTTTTAGGGGAAAACATGTTTCCATCTAGGTTTAAATTCTGTATGTAAATATATTGTTGCCACTTGTTTTGCAGATTGTGGGATTAGTGATATGCTTTCCTAAACAGAAAAAGTTGAAGATGTCTAGATACTTAATGGCTTTGACAGTGACCACCCTCATCGGTGTGGCCGTGGGGGGATTTGTCCTGTGGAAAGGCATCCGGCGGCGGAGGAGTAAAGACAGCCCGGACAGCAGGCAGCGACGGCAGCATCCACAGCATCAAACACCGGGCAGGAGGGAGCTGCCCGCTCCAGAAGAGGTCCGGCTGTGCTCCAGGGCCCCCGGAGCCTCATGGGAGGAGAGGATCCTCGGCGCAAAGGTGGTGACTGTGTCTCAGGAGGCCGAGTGGGACCACATTGAGCCCTTGCTTAGGAGTGAGTTAGAAGATTTTCCAGTACTTGGAATCGACTGTGAGTGGGTAAGTTAAAAAGCAAAAACAAAACGTGTAAATCTTTGCTGCTTTTCTAACTAGGTAACTTGAATAGTCAAGTAGATGATAAGATTAAAGGAGAATTAGCTTGTTCTCAGCTAGCTCACAAATAGGAATTTAGCAGAAGGAGAAGCTTCTCTTCTCAGGATAGGGGAGTGCTTACAATCATGGGTTCTAGAGTGAGACATATCTGTACAAGCTCCATTTTGACCACTTATCATTCTTTGAATTTGGACAAGCTACTTACCCTCTCAGAGTCTCCGTGAACTTGTGTCCCATAGGGATGTAATAGTATCTCCCTCCCAGGAGTTTTCAAAGGATTCAAATAGACAAGCCCTATAAAGGGGTTAGCATGATTTTCACGTATAGTCAGTGCTCATTAAGTATTAGCTACTATTAATATTTTTAGTAGTATTTTCATAAGGATGCCATGGAGAAGATAGTTAAGGAAGTCTACTTAAATGAGAATTATTACACAAAGTAGCATTTAAAGAGATAACAGTTAAAATTTGAAATACTAATTACCCTCAGCCAGGTACTTTGCTGTTTTGTTTCCATTATCTCATTTAATTTCCACAGTAATCCAATGTAGGAAGATACTCTTGTTACCTTTACTTTACAGCTAGGAAAGGAGGCATAAAAAGGTAACCACTTGAGCCCAGGGCTTTCTTAACCATCTGGTTAATCAATCTTCCTTCCTTCCTTCCTTCCTTCCTTCCTTC